CTTACTGCTCACAAATCCGTCTCATCCCTCAGACACCGTGACCCTGAGCACGCTCTGCTTCCTGTCTCTCTCTGAGTGGCTTCCTCCCTGGAGGCAGCCGAGGACTCATCAAATGATGCTCCTCTTTCTCTGAGAAACAGTCTGATTTATACACTTCAGTGCCAAAGAGCCAGCACACTCACGGCAGAAATATTCCCACATGCTCGATGCAAGGACATGCATTAAAACTCCTGCAATGAGACGTTTCCACACACACTGCTGCGTCCTCATTAAAATGTTGCATCTGGCTGTGCACGTATTGAGGAGTCACAGGTTCAAGGATATGGCAACATGCTTTACTGTAGGACATTTGAATCATTGATACTTTGTACATTTGGGAAAGTAAATTGGGGATATAGAAATGTATAGATATGAGTCAGTAAAGTGCTTACATTTACAGTATATATTCTTTGCAATATGATATAAATCTATTGCTCAACATACATAATATATAGTTTTGCAGTGATGGTTAAATCATCCGACTATATAACTATGTCATTGTATTGACATTTTCAACATACTATAGGTCTACTATGTCACACGTCCGGAGACACATACTATATTTCATAACTTTTTACACTATGCCTTTATGCCCATGTTGTTTTTTATTTATATTTTCGACTACTACCATGTATTTCTTTCCAGATATTTAAGCATTACTATACTATGTAATAGTTTTTTGATACTTTCATCATATTATACAATATTCATTTTTGACGTACTTTACTATGCCTTTTTTCGATATGCAGTACGTTTACGTTAAAACCATGTCCTTTTTGTAATATTTTCGACATACTATAGTATTACTTTTGTTCAAGATACTAAACACTGACCTTTTATTCAAAAATATTATACCATGTCGTTTTTCCCTGATATTTTACTATACTTTGTAGTTTTTTTCAGATATTCACATGGCATTACATGTATTACCATTACTATGACTTTTGATGACATACCTTACTGTGACTATGCTATGACTTTTTACGACAAACGACATTATCTGACTTTTTACGACATAATTGTATAACTTTTGATATGCCGTACAGAGTATGACTTTTCTAACTCTTCTCACATATTATACTGTGACTTGTTTCTTTTCTACAGCATTTTTTGGTGGAATTATGACACAGGATACTATAATTCTTCAATGACTTTCACATACCTCTAGCAATGACAGTTACTTGTTCGTCTGTATGAGTGTGTTGATGGCCTCGGGACAGGCAGTGAGGGGTACGGGTCTGGATTAGCAGTAGCACAGCAGGGGTGACCGACAGAGGGGTAGGAAACCAAGCAATGATTGGTGTTTCCACGGAAACCCTCTTATCTGGCAATATGCACACATGGAGGGCCACGGGGTCACAGGGGGGGTTACCAGGCAGATGGGAGAGCAGCAGGAAGTGACCTTGTGGACAGGAAGCGAGAGGGTTCCCTATCAGAAAGAGGCTTTCCACTCACCTAGCACCTTTTAAAGCACACAAACATGCACACACATTCAAAGAAATACACAAATTAGGTGACAGAAATAACTCATGACACATAGAAATATGAAGGTGCGCTGTAAGCACATTCACTGATGCTGAAAGCTGAGGCTGTCCTACTTTCTCCCTGTCCCTTTCTCTCATATACAGCACACCAACACCTACACACACACTTACTTGCAACAGTAGTCACCACTAAAACCCAACCTCTTAGCCCCGCTACTTTGCTTTGTGCTTGAATAAGCAGCAGTGCCTGAAGTGACTGTGGAGAAAGCGGCAGAGGCATGAAGGAGTATTGTTTAGACTGGAATGTTCCTCTGGCTCTGAGTTTGTGAGTCTCCTGTTGTGCAGAAAGGAAACGGTTCCCTCCCTCCATTGTCTTACTATAGCCTGCTTTGGATCGGGTCTTCAACAATGTCCTCCAGTCCTACTGAACAGTCCCTATTAGGACATAAACCTGACTGCCAATGATGTACAAACCTCTTCATTCAAGATTTAGGGTTTAAATTATTGATAAACTCTAAGAGGAGCGTTGCTACATTGCTTTTAGCATGCAGTTGTACATGGACCTTGAACATGTTCATCAAATGATGTGTGGCTCTACCAGGGGGTGCTGGGGGGAAGTTACTGAGCTCAAGGAAAGTCTGTGTCAAGCTTGCTCACATTTGCTCCCGGGCATCGTAGCTACACTGCCAAACTAAAATGGATATGTCTGCAATAAATGGTTAGAAATGTTCTGATTGCAACATTTTTGTTTTTTTCAGGACTCCCCTACCAACAAGCTGCTGTATGCCAAGGAGATCCCAGAGTATAAGAAGAGAGTGCAGTGCTACTACAAGCAGATACAGGACATGCCACCTCTTAGCGAGCAGGAGATGAATGCTCACCTGGCTGAGGAGTCACGAGTGAGTAGTGTTCCCTGTGTGTTAGGGATCTGGCTCCACAAAAGTCACCTCTGGAACTCCCTCCCTCCTGACATCCGCAACACTGACTCTCTCCCCATTTTCAAATCACGCCTCAAAACATATCTCTTCACACTCGCATATCCACCCTGATCATTATCCATCACACATCCTCTGTTTTATTTATTTGATTTGTTATATACTGCATTGTCTTGTTTATGTTTCTTATGCTGGTGTTAGGTATTGTGTATCTTGTTTTTTATGTGGTTGTACGGCGACCTTGAGAGCCTTGAAAGGCGCCTATATAAAATAAATGAATTATTATTATTATTATCAATCACACGTTTTATTGTGGAATCTAATACATGTCTTTCGTCCATCCTGCAGAAATACAGAAATGAATTCAACACCACCCTGGCCTTGACAGAAATCTACAAATATGCCAAGAAATACAGAACGCAGGTAAGAAAGGAGATGTTGCTTTCTGTCTTTCTGATCTCAGAATCAGATACGATATGTTACTCGTGTTTGAACTGGCCCTTCGCTGAACACCTCGACCCCTTTTGCTTTTTTAAGTTTCAACAGATGGGTATCAGAGCGTGACATATCCGTGTGGAGGATCTTATGCATGTTGAGAAATGTTGTAAACTGTTTTAAATCTGTCACTCTAAGCAAACAACATGCTGTTTAGCCTCCTTTTATCCATCACCCCTAGCCGCCTAATAAGAGGGTTAAGTTGCTGCTTCATGTATTTTCTGTTTCTTTATTAACCAACCCTTTACAAGCCCCTGCAGTCTTCTCCAGTGTTTCTTTACTGCTGTGACTATTCTCAAGAGAGGCTTAGTGAGTGGTTACTGTGCCTTAATGGAGCACCCTCATGATAATGACGTTTAGATTCTTTCCTCTGTCATGCTACTGTACTGACGTGGGCCAGGGGCTTAGAGTCTGATTCACAGAGCTCTGTGAATGGCCCCTGATTGCCTATTCTCTCGCCCCAGCTCAGTTTGCTCTGCTTCGTATCACACTGCTGCTAAGAGCCCATCAATCCCTCTTACACCGTGACAACTATTGGGCATGAAAAACAGAGCAGATGTGGGTTTTGTAAATATGTGAAGAGTTAAGGCTTTTGTGGTGTTGAGGCATGCGTGAAGGCTGTAGAAGAGGCTGAAGCACTTCACTTGTTCTTCTGCCGCTTTCCCTTTTCTCTTGCTCAACTTTCTATGTCCAGGCAGGTGGCTGATTTCCTCCCTCCCTAGATAGATAGATGGATGGATGCATGAATGCACCACAGACACTAAAAGTCTGTTTCTTTTTCTATCTCCCTCGATCAGGTGGTGACCGCTCTGGAGTCTAACCCTACAGCACGTCGCACTCAACTGCACCACAAGTTCGAGCAGGTCATTGCCCTTGTGGAGGACAACATCTACGAGTGCTGCAGCGAAGCCTGAACCTGCCAGTGTCTTTTCTACTAGCCATCTCTTTCTCCTGCTGACAGCTGCCTTTCTCCTGCCTCCATAGTTACTTGGGAATGTCTGCCTTCATAAGGAGTTAGCCTTCATAAGTGTCATTATTTCCCACAGACTATAAGAAGCGTGGAAGGTGGCAAAGGACTTAAACCTGCCTCTCAAGCGCCATACATTTGCAAGGTGTTCCTCCTCTGATCTGGGAATGCCGAGCTATTTTCCCAAATCTTTCTCCAGTTTGGCTCAGCTATGCTTTAGAGGAAAGGTGTAAGGGCGTGGAGATGAGTCTTTACAGTTACTGGGACCTACAGTAAGCCCTGGTGGCGATTTTAACGCACTGAACCCTTTTCTTAAGGGAACGAGCCAATGATGCACTGTACTGTATTATAATGTCCATAGCAATATTTATAGATGTGTTATAATGATTTCAAGTGGCCTGTTCATCAGGATGAGTAAGAAGCACCTCGATAAACTCCTCATCTCCTTAGGCCTGCATAGTTCTCAGGTGTGCTTGGTGAAGATGGGGGACCCCGCTCCCATCCATCGGTGCTTTGATGGATACGTCCCAATGTGCTTTGCAGGTTGATGATGGATTGAGGAGAAATAGAGAGAATATAAATGACTGAGATGTATTGAATAAGATCTAATGTAGTTCACTGGGAAGAGCTGCATTAGTATAGACGTGTTGATCAGTGTGCTTGTTAACGAATGAACTTAATGTTGGATTCTGACCAATTTAAAAGAGGGAAATTTACATTTATGAGAAAAAAGTGAACTCAATATAAGGAGAGACTGTATTTGTGATGCCAAATGACTTGTCAGAGTGTGAAATAAATTACAGTATTTAGGCTTTTAAAGTGTCTAATGATGACAATGTGTATTTTTCTAAGTCTCAAAGTGCTTCATTTACACGTCCATTACAACATAGCACATTTTAACAACATTTGAAAAGCATTAAGATCTGGCCTGCCACCCAAAAGCGCACAAACTAGCATCTGGAACTTGTCAGAGAGCCTTGTAAACATTATCATGAAAATGTGAGTTAGGGGAAAAGTCGTGCAGACATTTAGCTTTGTTTTTTATTGCAGGACACAGAACAACTTCCACAGGACCCTAGGTTTAACATAATAAACAAAATAATATCCCCATTTCGCTATAATACACACACTGCGTTCTGACATCCTCCACACACACACACACACACACACACACACACACACACACACACACACACTTGCAGGAGGTGCCCTCTCCCTGCAGAGGATTTTTTTTCTGGTCCATCTGTTTACACTCATGTCTCAGTCAATGCCAAGAGCAAACTAACAACCCCTCCTCTGCATAAAGTCAAGAGGAGAGACAAGACCACAGCCCCATCTGATACCTTAAAAACTCAAAAGATTCATGACTAATCTCACCCAAGTAATCATAAAATGGATTGTTTGAAGCGCATTTTGGGGTTATATATAGCTGCAACGTATACCAGTTTGTATTGACCTATTATGTGTTTTGGGGTAGTGGGGAGCTTGGAATGTGTTCAGTTGGATCATCACAACACCCCTTGATGCCGGGTTAAACTCGGTTAAGCCAGCTGAACACTTTCCATGATTAAATGGATTGAAAATACACATGCTGACTCTAGAGATCGTCAGTCCAACCGAGAGAGTGGTTGTGCCTGGGCAGTGAAGACACATGGAGAGGTAAGTCAAGAGGATTGGCCAATAGAGGAGTGTTGCTTGGCGTGGGCGGGTCCCTAGGTGTGCTGGGACAGATGGGACATCAAAGGTGGTAGGGGGGAGGGGGGAACCGGTCAAGCAGGAGCCACTTGGCTGGATATGACTGAAGTCTGAGTTTTGGATGTGGAAGCACCAGAGACCTCAACCTCTCCAAATGGGTTTTTTCCACAACACACCGTGGTGATCATGCAGTTTCTGAACTGGAGGCCAAAAAGGAGAAGAACATAAGAATCAGAGATTCAATTCCCTCAGTGGTGGAAGAAGGATTCAAATTCAATAAAGTACAGGCACCAAAAGGTTAATAGCACCAATACATAAATAAGAAATAACACTTACATTGAAGTACATTGGTTAGAACCATCAGGTAAATGTAAAATAAGATTAGCCTGTATTGATCCCCAATTGAGAAATGTAGGTGTTGCATTAGCACACGAACAGATATGCAGATACAAAATAAGATCAAATATAATTATAAATAAAGACTATAAAATAGCAATTTCAAATAAAAGTACTCACTATTTAAAAAAATGCCTCCTGTAATATTAATGTTATTGTACAAGACATTATTAAGCTTAAAACGTTTTGGTTGGAGCGAAGCTAGTCATTAATGCTTTTAATAGAGTTTGTTAATTTAGTCTTCAGCTTTCCAATCTCTAGTAGTATGATGTAAAGTGGAAATACGCATACAAAGTACATAAACAAAATGTAATTAGGTTCTGTACTTGATAAACTGTACATGTTACCAATGCCTTCATCGCAGCTCTCTTAAACACAGTCACATTTCTTCCCGTACCTGTCTGTTCAGCAGAATGTAGATGATCGGGTTGTACAGAGCAGAACTCTTGGCGAAGAAGGCGGGAGCGGTCATGAAGACTGGTCCAAACTCAGTCCCTTGATTGGCAAAGATGTACCAGGCCACGGTGGCGTAGGGCACCCAGCACATCAGGAAGGACATCACCATGACGATAACCATGCGGGTCACCTCCTTCTCCGCTCTCTGGGTGGATTCAGACTCCTGCTGCTGGGCTGCAGCCTGAAAACATGCAGATAAAGGTCATCATGAAGGTCTGTGATGCAAATGTTAACAAAAGGCTCAGCCAATCACCAGCTTAAAAAAACAAAACCGGATTGAAGCACTAAACAAAGTGATATGTCCTTTAATCAATGGACTTACACTTACAAAGGATAATAGTGGATTTGACTGGATAAATGAGACTTGGATTACACTGCGTGAGTTGTGTGAGAGTTTGTAAACAGATGCTTTAAGTAGCACTTCAATTTCACAAGTAGTAGTATGAGTAATTTAAAAACAAATGATCATTCTGTTGAATGTACCAACTAATACTCTCCAAATGTAAGTGCAAATAAAGACATTATCTGAAATGTATGGGTCAAATTGCAAATTGAGGCTTTAAAATAGAAAGTCTGCTGCTGTTTCAGATTCCAGCCTAATAACAGATTTTGTTTGGTCAATTTGGGACAGCCCAAAATAAATGGTGAACACACATAGTTACAAATCAAGGATATTATTGTTTTGAGGTGATTTGTCCGCCCCCCCGTGGTGAATTGAATACCAAAGTTTGCTCTCTTTTAGCTCTGTTTTTGGTGTCCACTAGCCCTGGTTTGTGCAGTGTTAGATATATGCGGGTCACTGAGGTAACTGTTACCTCTGTGTGCTAAAACATGTGAACCACAAACTACAGCTCGGTCTCCAGCAGCTCCTCAGGGAGTCTGGCTGCTCGGCTGCCAAATGCTCCACGGTGTTCACCAGCTCATGAGAGTGGACCAAAACAGTAAATTTTACTGGGACAGAGCAATAGGAGCTTAAACTTGTTATAATAAATACCTGTAGGTTCTTAAGTGCATGCGAACCCCTTACATTATTTGAATTGTCTTTTAGTTGACAATAAAAAAAAAAAATATAAATAATTGCCGCCTTGTAAAAAAGTCAGCATTATTTTTAAACTATTAACGACTGCTCATATATTATACATGTTGTTATACTATTATTAATGAGGGCATCAGGGTGACACTGAGCAGGCAGACTGCCCTTCAGCTGGAGGGCCGGGTATAAGCTGCCATGTTGGCAATGATCTGCCCTCCTGAAGTGTCCTTGAGCCACTAAATCCCCACATCTCCGCTCTGTGATGTCGCTAACGTCCCTGTGGAGGGGAGGAAGCTACAAAATAACTAAAAACATTTTCTTTACAAGGATAAAGAAGGTATCACATCCTTATTAATAATATGTGGCCAGGCTTACCGCTCGCACAGTGCAGAGTAGGCGACTGTAGCAGAAGAAAATGATGAAGAGGGGGATCGTGAAATGGAGGACAAACATATAGATGACGAATGAGGTGTTGTGGAACTCAGGATTGGGACTGTAGTAGTCGATCCCACAGGAACACTGCATTCCCTCTGGGATGTACCTGCAAGCCACACAGAATCATTTCTATCAACACCATCACACACAGTATTTGATTCTAGATATGAGTCTTTGCGTAAGTGTGCTAAAAGTAAATAAAGGTAATCTCAGATGTGCCTTGGTGTGCAAATGAGACAAATGTTGGTATGGCTTTGAAGCCTGTATCCTAGTTTTTAACACTGAATGATACAGTACCGTGACCATCCGAGCAGAGGGGGAAGAGCACAGGTCAGGGCCATGATCCATGTGAAAGCCAGGCCAGCTATGGCATGTTTTTCCTCAAAGAGGAAGTTGGTCATTGGTTTACAGACCACAACGTAGCGCTCAATAGCCAAAACCACCAGGGACCAGAGACCAATCTCTCCTAAAGCATAAAATAAAGCAGGTTTGACTTTAAATACAGCACACAGTATTTTTATATTTCACACACATCATCTCAAAAAATGTTTGTTTTTAAAATGTTCACAATAAAGAAAGTGAAACACAAATCTAGACAATAGCATTTAGCATACAAAGTACATTTACAGCACATTCACATCCTCCTCTCTTACCTCCTAAGGTGGCAAAGAATCCCTCAACGTTGCAGCCGGTGACGCCCAAGATGAAGTACCCGTTCAGGGCGGTGTAGAGAGCGACCGTGAAGCCGCCAACCACCATGAAGAGGTCGGCCACGGCCAGGTTGAGCAGGACATAGTTCAGAGGGTTCCTCAGCCTTTTGTTTTTGACGGTGACAAAGAGGGTGAGGAAGTTGATGGGGAAGGCGGTAAAGATGAGAAACAGCATGTACGCAGCCACAATAGAGTACTTCCAGGGCTCAGCCAGGTAGTACTGAGGGTGCTCAAAGGGGCTGCGCACCACCCCAGTCTTGTTAGACATGGGGACATAAAAGTTGGGACCTTCTGTGCCTTTCATGGCTGCAGATGGGGGTGTTCTTCCTTCCCTCCGAGACCTTTACACTAGAATACAATAGTCTGTGTCTCTTGTCAGAATACCAATACTGTGAAGTAGTGCAGCCGCAGTGCAAAGAGGGGAGAAAGGTCGGCTGGAGGGATGGATCCTGTGAGAGGAGGATGTGATCTGCAGCCCCCTGAGGTGATGCAGCACCTTTTAACAGGCCGGTGGGATTAGTGATTTACATGGAGCAAAGTATTAGCAAAGAGGGAATTAAGACACTCACCTCAGTCTGCCCCTCTCTCATATTCACATAAAGCATTACAAGGGGAGAACTCTAGAAATAGCTATGCAGTATGTGAAGTATTTTCAAGGTGAGAGGTTACAGCAATGGCTATCCAAACCGCATAATTACTGTCAAGTGCATCAATGCATCATCAGAATGAGAGGAGAGAGAGTAGGAGGGAACGAGCCTATTTGTGATTCAAACCGTTCAGAGTGGACAAACTATAAATTACATTTCTTGAGCAATCCAACTTATTTGTATCGCTAAAAGCCTAATCCCCAACCACTGCATAATGCAGGACTCAACTCATAGCCCTAAGAGTAATCAGAGTCAGTGGTGCATACCGCTCAGAGCATGCACTCTCACTCCACTTCTCTGTTTTTACAGATGGAAAACCTGAAGTTTAATCTAAAAGAGTAAGAAGCAAAGATGACCATCTTTGTAACACTGTTAAGAAAACCCACTGTAATAAAAAAGTACCAAAATATTTTATTGAAAAGGTTTTTTTCCCCCATTGTAACAAAATAAAATACATTTTCATGACTAAACAGATGTCCCGTACTGTTATAAAACACACAGTACAGCTTTAGTATACAAGCTTGGGGAATGCATTTGTGGCATCTGGTATAGAGGTTTTCCATTTGGTAGAATTGCGTTTCTTAAATAAACGTTTTTTATAGCAATATTATTTTACACTATGCACACATGCTGCCTCTAAAGTGATGATGTTGTCACTGATAGATCAAGGTAATCTGATCCTTATAATCCGATTGGTTGATGGTGCACTTTATAATGACCAACACACAAACACTAGAGGTATTACGTCTGTCAGTCATCCTCTGAGGACAAAGGGCTGCTCCTCAAAGGGAGCTTGAGGAACAGCAAACAAAACAGTTAGATTAACTTAAAGATAAAACATACAGTATGTCTATGTAAATTACAGGGAGAAATATATTACAATGCAAAACAAAAATTCACAACCCATCAGAAAACCAACTGCATGATAAAAGGGAGAAACATATCAGCTACAGGACATACAAATAAAAACGTTTTAAATAGATGCTCTAGTTTTAAAGTCCATCAGTTTGGTTCATCGATGGGTCGGCGACAATAAGGACAGCAGTTGTGCTGAAGCACCAGGAGCTCATAGTCCTCACTGTGGAACATCTAAGAGGAAATACAAAGACAGGAACATCACAAAACAGAACACATCTGACATTAAATGTTATCTGTATGAGGATATGGAAGCCAAGTCAAAGAACAGGAACAAGAGCATTCTAGTGATCCATTTTCCAATCCTTATCTAAATAGTTTTCTCTGTGGTTCATGAGTCGTGAAAAAAACGTTTTGATAGAAAATGTTTTCAAAGCTTTGTCCGGTATGGGTGATCTCAATATTTTTTAACTTTAACCCTTTCACAGTGTGTTTTCAGATCATACATTCTAGCACTTTGGTTGCCTCAAAATGATAAACTTTTGGTTGTATTTAGCTCCACCTGGTTGCAAAAAACAAAAAGGGGACAACCAAAGAAATATCACAACAACCTTAAGGCTTTAACAACTGGTTTAAACACAAACCAATTGGTCACTATGTCACTGTGACTATGTACTTCCTTCCTGCAGCAGTCAGGCTCTACACAACCACCACACAATACAGACTGTTGAAATCATGAGCAATAAACCTGCAATGTGCCATATAAACACTTGTTTGCAACTGTACGGTGCTATAATCACTTTATGTGAAACAACACATATCTTCATACATGTCCCAAAACGTATTTTGAGGTCGCAATACTTTATTTAGCTATTTATGTCACTTAAATGGCTGCTATAATTATTTTGCCATGGTTGTGTACTTATTTGTCTCTATTGTTATTTTATTACAAATGTCTGCTTTTCTTTTTTATTATTGCATTGCTTCTTTATCTACTATGCCGTTTTTGGTAACACTTAAAATGTCCTCGCTGTGGGACTCATAAAGGAATTCTGATTCTGATGGGAGTGATATGACAAATACAAACACAACAATGTTAAGTCATTTGCCTCTCATGGCTTCCGTACAAGCAAAATAAACGAAAACAGTGAAGGTTAGTGTTATCCGAGGTTCACACCAGGTCATACTGGCTGTGTGTGTTATAAAGCTGTACCTTGAAGCAGGTGGGGCACATTGTGATGCTCACATCGGGCAGCAGGGAGCGGAAGTATTCCCATTTGAGCGGCCGGGGCCAGCGTTTGATCAGGACGTCCCTCCTGCTCATGGAGCGCAGCACCAAGCGACTCACCTTCACTGGGACAAAGGTCGAGCCCCCCTGCTGTTTAAACACACATGAACACATCCACGTTGTATTATTGACCCTGTTCTTTTACCCTCTCCAGCTGGTTTGCCCAGTTGGTGGATTTTTAATCTCATCTCGTTTGTCCTTTCCTACCTCAAAGCTCATTTTGGCTGTAAATGGGTCTTCCTCATGATCGTCCAAATCATCCTTCATCTTCAAAGCCTGCAGCTCTGATTGGGGTTATTAAGGACACATATAGCAATGCAAACATTTAAACATATATTGTCTGTTATTGTATATTTTTAAGACAGGACAAACCTCTATAAAAAGACTATTTAAAACTGAGTGTTCAAAAGGCCGATCAGTCGAAGAACAGAGCAGACCTCAGTGCCCTTGAGTGTGTGCCGACTAATGCAGGTTAATCCCTGCACTGGGGCTGTGGCTACGGCTCTTGGAGGGTTAGTGTCATTAAAATGAGACAGGAGAGCCTTGCTAACCCTATTAGCTCAAGGGCTAAGATGACTTAGCTCTGACAGCTTACCCACCAGCACAGAATCGAGGCCAAAGAAGACTAAACAGCTTCTTAGAACTGTCACAAGGTGGAGGGCAGTCACATGTTTCATTTCAAAGAGATGTGCCGCGTGTAAGGGCAGGGATACAGCATCACAGGGCCAGCAGAGTGAGGAATGAATAATTCATACAAAGAATGTGAATCATCTGTTAGTCCATGTGTATATCTATTTTTATACAGTTACATACTGTAGGTTATTAAAGGATACCACCGTTGTCCATATCGTGCCAGCGTGCGTCACTCTGATCCGTGTGAGGGACCTCCAAGTCAATCAGAGAAACTGCCTCTTCATCACTGATGCCCCCCTCCAGGTAGAACTGCACCAGAGGCAACACCTCTGCACACAAGGAGATACGCTACATTACTATTACAAACACAAAGGGGGTCGTGTCTGGCAAATACCGCACGCCATGTGTTGGTGTGTCACTGACCATATGAGGAGGCTGAGTAGATGAAAGGCTGCCTGCAGTTGATGCACACGCTCCCCTGGTTATTCAGCAGGGGGTTGTTGGTGGAGCAGCGGTAGCACATCATGCCCTCAATAAGGTCCTGCAGTAAACACACGGAAGTTTACACGATACACTCAGCAGCACAGGATGGGAGTAACTGCTCTCATGATCAGAGTGGGTTCATGATCAATATTTCAGAACACGTTTAATATACCAGCATGTTTAATCCAACACACCTCGCTGTCGTGAAAGGGTTTGGAGCGAATGGTGAGGCTGCCCAGTTCTATGGACTCCTGGAAGCGAGAGGGGATGTGCAGCTCCTGGAGTTTCTCGTAGGAATACCTGGCAAGCTTATAAGCCCCCAGCCTTCGACTCTGCTTGGCCAATGCATACAAGGTGTTGCTAATAATAAGGTTAAGGAAATCTTAGGTTAGGAACAGCTTGGATGTTGATTTCTGAATATTTGAAATAAGTAAGGAGGCGTGTGGCGCAGTGGGTTGGTGCGCGGATCTTCGAATCAGAGGATAGCAAGTTCGAGCCCCACTGCAGTCTGCATGTCGTTGTGTCCCTGGGAAAGACACTTCACCCCAAATTGCTCCTGTGGGGATTGCCCACAGTATTGAGTATGTAAGTCGCTTTGGATAAAAGCGTCTAACAAGTAACATGTAATGTAATAGTTGTGGAAACATTGAGACCTGTGTGCGTTTATAAATAGACTGCACTGTGTATTCCCATATTTCTCAAATGTAATGAGCAGAAGTAGAGCCCTGCTGAGCCAGCAACATTAGCTGAATGCCAAGTTAGAAGCAATACCTTGGGTAGGTGGGTTTGCGTGTGAGCTTAAACAAGCGTGACTGTTTTTGTGTTTAGAGTTGAGGAAACTGTTATTTGTATTTATAGGGAGAGACAGAGCTGTTCTCTTAACAATCGGAGCGTGGCAATGACAGGTCAATGAGTTGCAGCTGCAAAAGCTCCGCGCTGCCGCTCCTCCACCACCTAAAACTTAACACCACTCCTCTCCACTGAGCTACTCTCCAGCTCCACCCACACACCCAGATCTGTTCCAGGCTGGGGCTGTTGATAAATGAATGTCCTCCTATTGTGAAACTTGTTTAGCGCAGCTTTTTCTGTGACATTGTGTTTAATTGTTCGAGCCAGTCCAACGCATCCTGGCTGAGTCTATAAACTAAGTTCAACGTTTTTAGAACACCTCAGTTTCTCCTCAGGATCCCAGCTGCTCAGCCTGGTTTCCTTCCTCACACTCTGACTTCACTGTGTGTGTCTACATGGATTAGTGTGTCTGTGTGTGTATGAATTCAAATTAATGTACATTGTTTAATGTGTTTATATATGTATGCGCGTGCACAAAGTTCACTAATCAAAGTGTTTGTTTAGATAACGGAGAATGTGCCTCTTTCTGGCATCTTCTCCTCCTCCCCATCACCGCCCCTTGTTATTCTCCCAGCAGCAGCGTGGTTTCCGCAGTGGCGCCAACGCTTCCGTTTTCTCCCCACT